CTTGCTGGATGAGGGGAGCATTTCAGGATGATCACCTGCTAGTTATTTGCTTGTCCCATGATGGCTCCTGACAGGTATGTGAGCCACCAAGTCTCCTTCTTCCAGTCAATTTGATAGTTACCACAATGGGAAAGCATACAGTTTGATCCAGAGGTTCTGCTTCTGTCCAGTAAAGCTATGGTGGTTCATACTGTCAACCTGAAAGGAACGAGAACCACCCAGGAGACTAAACTCTGGGCCTGGGTGTGAGGAAGTTTCTAGAGAAAGTTAACTACATAAGACTCGTCATACATGTGGGCGCTGGTACTGCATGCATGACTGCCTCGTGCTATGGTGTCCGTACTTTCCAGACATGATGGACTGTTTCCCCTCTTAATCTACGAGACAGAATAAACCCTCCCTAAATTGTTGTCAGGCACTGATGTTAGCAAATGAGAAAACACACACACACACACACACACACACACACACACACACACACACACAAGAGAGAAAGAGAGAGAGAGAGAGAGAGAGAGAGAGAGAGAGAGAGAGAGGGGAGAGAAACACATGCCACAAAAATATATAAAAATTAGAAATAATTATGTACATCAAATGCAGTTGGCCACACAAAAGATGGGAGCTGCAGAGAGGCATAGACTCAACATTTATTATTTTTGCGGCTGTCTTTGTTGTTTGTTTTTGTTTCTAGACAGGGTTTCTCTGTGTAGCCCTGGTTGTCCTGGAACTCACTCTGTAGACCAGGCTTGTTTTTGTTTTTCGAGACAAGGTTTTCCTGTGTAGCCTTGGCTGTCCTGCCCTGGAACTCACTCTGTAGACCAGACTGGCCTTGAACTCACAGAGATCTGCCTAACTTTTCTTCTAGAGTGCTAGGATTCTACATATACATATACACATTCACATACATATACACATACGTACACATGTCCATATTACATGTACATATACATATCATACACATACACACATATACACATACATATACATAACACATACACAGAGTCTTTATTGTCTTTTCAAGACAGAGTTTCTCTGTGTAACCCTGACTGTTCTGGAAGTTGCTCTGTAGACTAGGCTGTCCTCAGACTTAGCAATCTGCCTGCCTCTGCCTCCCAAGTGCTGGGATCAAAGGAGTGCACCACCACTGCCTGGCTGAAAAAATGTTTTTAATACAATATATTCTGATTCTGATTTCTCCTTCCCCAATCCCTCCCAGGCCCACCCCCACCTCCTCACCCACCCAAGTTCACACCCCTTCTTCCTCTTTCTCATGAGGATACAAACAGGAATCCAAAAAATAAAATAAAATTAGATAAGATGAAAGTAAACAAACAAGAATAGGACAAAACAAACAGAAGGAAGAGAGCCAAGGAAAAAGCTCCAGAAACATGTGTGCAGAGACGCACACATCTGTACACAAAGAAGTCTCATAAAACACAAAACTAGAAACCATAATATATAAACAAAAAGCCCTGACAAAGCATTCTCAGACAAAGAATCTCCAAAACCAGACTCTGAGTTCATTTTGTGTTCTCCATCTACTGCACGGCCTTAGGAGTGGGGTGCGTGTCCAGTCAGACTCCGCTGGAGAAAAGTCCTTTTTCATTTGCAAGCAGTTATAGATAGAAACTAGAAATAGATCCTGGATTAAGGATGTGGCTTGTGCCTACTTCTCTCAGCGATGGACCCCAACAGGTTCAGACTCATGTGGGCTCTGTGCCAGTCTTGGGGAGCTTGTATGTCTAGGGGGTCCTTCAGCTACCCTCTTCTGCAGCTATCTGAGCCCCAAGGGGAGGAGTTTGATAGAGACAGCCTGTGTTCCAGTGATTTCACTCTCTCCACATTGTCCAGCTGTGGGTCTCTGACCACCCAGTACCGTGAATAGTTAATAGGGGATGGCTCCAGTAGGGCCCAGCTGGACTTCTCCGTGTCCAGTTTGATTGGTTGATTGATACAGGGTCTTACTATGTTTCCCCTGGCTGGCCTGTGAAACTCTGTGTAGACAAGGGTGCTGGGATTAAAGGCATATGCTACTACACCCAGCTATTTTTGTTTATATGATTTTGTGTGGTGGGAGTTGAGGACCTAATTTGTGATTGGTATGATTGTACCAATCAATATTTTGAGACAGGATCTTACTACATACTGCTGGCTGGCTGGAACTCTCTATGTACACGGAGATGGCCTTGAACTAGTAGAAAGCTGCATGGCTTTGCTTCCTCAAGTGCTGGATAAAGGTGTGCACCACCACTCCTGACTCTACATGGAGTAGTATTTTTTATTTGTGGGTTTTTGTTTTTTGTTTTTGTTTTTTTTGTTGTTGTTTTTTTTGTTTTTTTTTTGCCTGTTTGAGACAGGGTCTCTGTCCCTAGCCCTTCCTGTCCTGTAACTCACTATGTAAAGTGACTTCAGGCTGACTTCAAACTGACATGTTTATCGGCCTCTGCCTCCCAAATTCTGGGGTTACAGGCATATACCACCACACCTTGTCATCATTTTTTTTTTTTGTTTTTTGTTTTTTTTTTTTTGAGACAGGGTTTCTCTGTGTAGCCCTGGCTGTCCTGGAACTCACTCTGTAGACCAGGCTAGCCTCGAACTCTCGAACTCAGAAATCCTCCTGCCTCTGCCTCCCAAGTGCTGGGATTAAAGGCGTGCTCCACCACCGCCCGGCCCTTGTCATCATTTTTAATTAAGAAGACTCATAAACTTTTAAATTATCTTGATATATTTTGTTATGTACCCTTTATAGTCAAT